AGGTGCAAAAGTCCTCAACAAAATACTAGCAAAGCAAATTAAAAAAAAAAGAAAAAACCAAACCCCCTGCCATCGAGCCGATTCCGACTCATAGCAACCCTACAGGACAGAGTAGAACTGCCCCATAGGATTTCCAAGGAACTACTGACCTTTTGGTTAGCAGCCGAACACTTAACCACTGTGCCACCAGAGCTGCATATAAAAATGATTACATACCATAACCTAGTGGGAATTAACCCAGGAACGCAAGTTTCATTCAACACAAAAATAAATCAATGAAACACACCGCATTAATAGAATGAAGGAAAAGAAAATCACATAATCATCTCAACTGACACAGGAAAACACATCTGACAAATCAACAACTTTTCATGAAAAGAATACTCAACAAATTAGGAATTGAAGGGAACTTCCTGATGAAGGGCGTCTGTGAAAAACCCATAGATAACACCATGCTTAATGGTAAAAGGCTGAAAGTTTTCCTCCTAAGATCCGAAACAATACTAGGAGGTTATCACTATCTCCACTTGTACTCAACACTGGATGTGAAGTTCTAGTCAGGACAGTTAGGCAAGAAAAAGAAATAAAATGCAACCAGACTGGAAATGAAGAAGTAAAACTATCTCCATCTGAAGATAACATAATCTTATAAATAGAAAATCCTTTTAAAAATCCACATACACAGAAAAAACTATTAGCACTAATAAATGAGTTCAGCAAAGTTGCAGGATATAAAATCAATATACAAAACTCAGTTGCATTTCTACACAACAGCAATGAACAATCTGAAAATGAAATTAAGAAAACAACCCCATTTCAAAAAGAATAAAATACTTGGGAATAAATTTAACAAAAGAAATGCAAGTCTTATACATTGAAAACTATAAATCACTGTTTAAAGAAATTTAGGAAGATCCAATAAACGGAAAGACACCCCACGTTCATGGATCAGAAGACTTAATACCGTAAAGATGGCAATACTCCCCAAACTGATCTACAGATTCAATGCAATCCCTTTTTGGCAAAAATGGGCACACTGATCCTAAAATTCATACAGAAATGTAAGGGACTCCAAGGAGCCAAAATAATCTTAAAAAGAAGAGCAAAGCTGAAATTAAGACTGACACTTCCCAATTTCAAAACTACAAAGCCACAGTAATCAAGCCAGTGTGGTACTGGCGTAAGGATAGACACAAAGATCAGTGGAATAGAATTAAGAGTCCAGAAAGAAACCCTTATATTCATGGTCAGTTGATTTGCAACAAAGATGCCAAGATAAATCAATGGACAAAGAATAGTCTTTTCAACAAATGGTGCTTGGCTAACTGGCCATCCACACTCAAAGGAATGCATCTGAACCCATACCTTATACCTGGCTTACGCAGTTAGACACTCAAATACTACCCAGAGGCGCCTCAGAAGACAGGCCTAGTGATCTGTTTCTGAAAGTTCACACCCTTGAAAACCCTATGGAGCAGTTCTACTCTGCACACATGGGATTGCCATGAGTCGGAACAGACTCTACTGCAACTAACAATAATCTCATACCATATACAAAAACTAACTCAAAGGGCTCAAAGACCTAAATGTAAGAGCTACAACTCTTAGAAGAAAACATAGGTACAAATCTTTGTGTCCTTAGATTCGGCAATGGTTTCTTAGATATGACACCAAAAGCACAAGCAACAAAAGAAACAAATTGGACTTCATCAAAATTAAAAAAACTTTTGTGCTTCAAAGCACGCTATCAAAAAAATGAAAAGACAACCCACAGAATGGAAACAATATTTGCAAATCATATATCTTGTAAAGGTCTAGTATCCAGAATATATAAAGAACTCTATGACTCAACAGTAAAAAGAAATAACCCAATTTAAAAACAGGCAAAGGATATTTCTCCAAAGAAGACATTTCTCCAGAGAAGATACATGAACGGCCAAAAAAGCAAATGAAAAGATGCTCGACATCATTAGCCATCAAGGAAACACAAATCAAAATCACAATGAGATACCACTTTATATCAACTAGGGAAGCTACAATTTAAAAAAAGAACGTGTTAGAGAGAATGTGGAAAATTGGAACCCTCATACATTGCTGGTGGGAATGTAAAATGGTGCAACCTCTATAGAAAACAGTTTGGCAGTTTCTCAAAAAGTTAAGCATACTCAGCAATTCCATTCCTAGGTATATACCCAATATAAATGAAAACATATGTTAACACAGAAACTTGTACACAAATGTTCACAGTAGCATTATTCATAATAGTCAAAAAGTGGAAACAATACAAATGTCTCTCAACTGATGAACAGATAAACAAAATGTGGTATATTCATATAATGGAATATTATATAGCCACAAAAAGGAATGAAGTGCTATATGCTACAACACGGATGAATCTTAAAAACATTAAGCTAAATAAAAGAGGTCATACACAAAAGGCCACAGAGTGTGATTTCATTTATATAAAATGTCCAGAACAGGCAAATTCATAGAAACAGAAAATAGATTACTG